TTAATTAGTATATCCGTTGTGGATACAACGTACCTTTCAACTTTTCTATTATTTTTGCAGGTATTTTCGAAGAATTTCTACTTTCTTTCTCCGTTCCTGCTAATGTGAAGATCATCTGCGACCGTAATGTTGGCAGTGACACAATTAGCACTGTGCACGGGCTCCGAGCGATATCAATGGCCTGGGTCATTCTCGGGCATACATGCATTATCGTTTTTAAGTATTCGGATAACATGGAGTATCGCAAAGTGGTAGAGAAGCGATTCCTCTTCCAGACCATCACAAACGGCGCTTTCAGCGTTGATACATTTTTCTTCATGGGCGGTTTGCTCGTGAGCTTTCTGTATTTCAGAACCAATGCCAAGGGAGATCTAAAGAGACTCACGCAGGGCACGCGAGGCTTCGCCGCAGGAACCCTAAAATTTATTGGGCTCCTTGTGTATCGATTTTGTAGGCTCACCACGCCGTATATGTTTATTCTGGGTGTAGTCGAGATTTCGATGAAGTATTTCTATACAAATTCCGTTTTTGAGCCTCCTACAGCAGATCACTATAACTGTCCCAATTATTGGTGGAGGAATTTGCTCTATATCAATACTTGGTTTCCCGTCGATCAAATGGTGTGTTTTTTTTTATTTATTCCTTATTATAGAATTCATAATTCTTTAAACTTTTCGTATGTTGACTGCATAATTATTTTTATAAGGCAATATTTTATAAAAATAATTATATAATATAGAATTTCAATTTCATGCTATTTATCTTTCTAATTTGATCTCTAATCTTTTTTAATTGATCTTTTTTGGAGGATTTGCTAATCTTATTATATCTCCATCAAATGAAGATGTAAGTTTACATTGTAATATTACAGTGTATGCTTTGGAGCTGGTATTTAGCAGACGATACACAGTTCTATATTGTGGGTGGAGTGATTTTGGTACTGGCTACGAATCACTTCAAAATCGCAGCTTGCGCGTTAGTCGGTCTATTAGTAAGCTCATGGATAACTACCGGCTATATCGCTTTAGTTAATAATCATATGCCGAGCATGGACGATCCGTTGGCCCTCTTTGACAAGATCTACGATAAACCGTGGACGAGATTAGGTCCTTATTTGATTGGCATGAGCGTCGGCTACTTCCTCTTTAAGACTGATTGTAAAGTGAAAATGTCTAAGGTATGATGTTTCCAAGAGAAAATTAATTCGACGAATGCGTCTAAAACAATTTAAAAAATGTGAAAGATTGTGATATCTTTTAGGTCTTTATGACACTTGATCGCCTGAATATTCGTCCTTGACGTAAAATTATAAACTTTTTATTACTTAGAAAAGATTTTATCATTTCTAGACTACCGTCGTTGTTGGATGGCTCTTGTCTTCTGCGTGTCTCTTGAGTTTGCTTTATGGTCTGTATGAGGCAGAACTTACACCTGTCACTGGAGCTGCGTATTCATCTTTGAGTCACAGCGCGTGGGCACTAGGTTTAGCGTGGATCGTAATAGCATGTAGTACTGGCTACGGCGGTGAGAAATAAATACATATTTATTGATGAATCATCGGATTAACTGTAATAAACATTAGACTGATCAATTTGCGTGAACTACACTGGGGTATTAAATCAGTACTCTGTTTCAGGATACGTAAATAAGATTCTATCATGGCCGCTCTTATATCCGTTCAGCAGAGTAACTTACTGCTCCTATCTAGTTCATCCGCTTGTGATTCGTCTAACCGCTATGAATCTAGACTCTCCATTTCACTTAGGGAAGGATATAATGGTAAGTCTACAGATAAGGAAAAAAAATTATGATTAATAATTAACAGCGAATTATCATAAAACACTTTATTTTTCAGATGATAACATTTCTGGGGCAGCTATCGCTGTCATACACATTGTCGTTTATACTGTCAATCGCCTTTGAAGCACCGGTGGTCAGTATGCTAAAGATTGTCTCACCGAAAAAGCGGAAACGTATACAATAGAGATTAAAGTATATTTAATACATGTCATACACTCCCGTACAATTATTTATACGATCTTATTTACACATTATGTATAGATTTCATAAAGATCTGTGAAGAACAATGATAAAATATCGCGAACATTATTATATGTATACACATGTATTTTAATACCATTTATTTGATTTGTTTCAAATATGTAAGAAATATGTAGACTTTTTTGTGTATTGCTAGATGTAAAATAAATTATTTCTCTTTGTATATAAATTTCAATATAGATAATATTTCATTAATGAAGAGAAATGCTCTGGAAAAAAGAGTAAATATATATACGCTCTTCAATATCAACTTATTTAAATTAAATGCAAAAACAATTGAATATATAAAAAGAGTACTATCTTTATTGAACAATATCTTTTTTATGAATAAAATAAAAAATAAATACTTATTTATGTTTCTTACTTGCTTACGTTATTATCCTATGCATAACATAATCTTTAATATTAATATTACATATTAATGTGAAAAATTATTATCCTTTCCCTTACAAAGCGCCCTCTATCGCAACTTCTGTATTAACATCAACAAAATATGGCCCTTCATTAACAAATCGCTTGAATTTCTGCATAGTGTCGGCATCAAATATATTTCGCTCCGCTTGAGATAAACATTTCACAACTTCGTATTTTGCATCCTTACACTCTTTAAACGATTCAATATTTCTATCTAATAGGAACTCTACCAAACCAGGATATGTGGATATGTATTCTTGTCCCCATACTTGAGAACTAATAACCACCAGTACCTCCAATCCAGCTTGTCTCATATCAGCAAACGGTTGTCTACATATCGCTACAATCATTCCCAATGGATCGTCGCACAGCGAATCAAACCACAGCTTCGTTAGGGACAAAATTCTATTGTCCTGCTCGATTCTTTTGACCTCGAATACAAGGGCAAGGTTGTTCAAACCGCGAATTCTCAAAGCCGTCGGCATTCTCTGTACTATCTCAGCGATTTTCTTAAGAGCACTCGGCATTGCATCTCCCAGAGCTTGCAACGCATACTTCCCTTCAATGCTCGCAGACACATATCCTAGAGTATCTAATGCAGAACCCAAGATATTCTGATCTCCACTGTCTATCACATCGAAAAGCGCGGAGATTATCACGGGATATCTGGCAAACAACTCGTTGGGCCAGTGACGAGCAACATTACCGAAAAACTTCATCAATCCGGGAATCAAAAGATTTGACAAGGGATTCTCATTGACTTGTGATATTTTTTGGACTAACTTGCTCAACACCTCTTGTTGCTCCAGATAACTTAGACCTTCTTCGAATACAGCTAATTGAGTTAATATTTCCAAGGCATTCAATTGAAGCAATATATCTTCGTTTTCTAGAATATTGATTAAACTGTTCAGAAAGCCTGACTGGGCCGATACTTCCAAAGCCTCTTGAGACATCTTGGCTATGTCCACAATCACTTCATAAACACGAAAGCTAATAGTATCGTTCTGCAGCAGCCTGGCAAATGTTCTCAGAAGTTCACCCTTATACAAAATATGTAGGCCATTTGGATTTTCTCCAATTTTTTTCACTATGCTCATCGCGCATTCGGCGACATTCAAGTCGTTATCGCTGATTCTGTTTATAATTGAAATCAGAAGAGTGGTGTCTGCGAGTAACTGAAATATCTTTTGCGGATGCAAAGCTGTACGCAAAAATTCATGTAGCACAAGTAATCTCACACTTGCATTTGGATTAGTTATTAAAGCAGATACTTCAATTAAATATCTCTGATAAATTTCCCCAGGTTCCAGTATGCTGAACAAGATGGTCAGAATATCGCATATCTGCTCTATAACTTCTCTGTAAAAAAAAAAAGTAGAATTCCTTTTGTTCTTAGTAGCAAACTTTAGAATGATATTATGTAATTAATATAAGACTTTCATAATAAGAGGTAAAAATTTAATATTATATTCTAAGAGAAAAAGTAGTCACATATAAAGTAACAGTTTAAGTAATTATAAAATAAAAAGATTTCAAAGTTATACAAATAAGATGGTTGTTTACACATACAATATGACAATCAAGGAGCTACTGAAATTAAATGACTTAATGTAATAAGCAGAATGAAATAAATATAATGCTACTTTGCCAAAGAAACTCATCATTTTATCAGTTTAAACAAAGATTATTCATCTATGACTTCGTGTATCTATTTATTACAAAATAATTAAGTTATTTATTTACAACTTTCTGATTGTCACCCTGTAAATGCTCAACGTGCATTAATAAGACAAAAACATGTACATTTAAAAATAAGTGATTAAAGCTTACATGAGCAGTAACTAACGGATTATATATATATATATATACATAAATTATCGTCCATGAGAATTGCAGAAATTTCACCTATCATCGTACCTGTCGTTCGAGGTTAGCTGCGAATAGAATGGCCTGTAGTCCAAACTACGAGCGATCTGCTCGGCATCCCGATTGTTCAAAGCGCTGAATTTGATTTTAATGTCCGTGAGAACGTCCTTTTTGTCCTCAACATTGTCTAATTCGCATAGATGCACGATTTTCGCTTGGTACCACTCCGCCATAGTCATCTCATTGACAATTGACTCTTCTAGCAAGGTTTTCGACTATTTTCGAATGTAATGGATTCGACCTAACCTAACCGTCCTAATGCAGAAGTATGGTGCGTCGGCGAGGCGCGATCAGCGCTACTTCTGTTATTCTATCTTCGTTGTTTATTAGACGTAAAACAAGGATAAAATGATAGAATAGCGCTAATAGCGTCTTCCCGAACGCATCTAATAATGTCACATGTTCTATTTTTTAATTGGACGAGGTCACATGGTACCTTTTGAGGGTTAGGTTGACTTCAAATTCACTGCACTCGAAAGTCTCAAATACTATAAATCTGTTCACATTATTTTGTACTTTTTACGCTCAATATTTACGCTTTCTTTCTCTTCAACGCCCAAATATATATTTTTCTTTTTAAGTGCAAAAAAATTTTTATTTTAAGCAACACGAACTTAGAGTGTGTTCCACTTCACGCATGATGTATCATTTTATCCTTTTGTTCACCGAGTATTAAAAAAAAAATAAAATCACATTATACGCATCATGTGTAAAACGGAATGCATTCTCGCGCATCCTTAATACATACAGTAGAATGTACATTATCTGATCGCAAATGAGGTGTAAATGAGCAACAATTGAGTGTAAATGAGTTAGTCGCTGATTCCGTTCCGCCTGGTCATGAATTGATCGACCCTGAAATGTGTTATATATCCAGCTGCAAATATAAATATAAAACATCATTTTCTACGCAATGTCAGCATCCAACAAGAGTAATTTAAAGAAACAGCATATAGTGGGAATACAATTACGAAAAATACAATACTAGCGTTTCCAGAGCTAGAAGGGATATAACCGTTATAGGTACGTATTGTGATCATAATAAATATAATTTCTAATGGATTGCGATAAACCAAGGTTTATTAATGTAAAGGATATGCTTCAATAGTTTTTTTGGAGTTAAGAAGCTTCAGAGGTGGATCAAAAGAAGATTTTTCTAGGTTACCGTGGAAATGTATTCGTTTTCCCAGTGAAGGCTCGATCTTAAAATGTACAAAATAATATCAAGAACATTTGTGCGTGAGGGCGTAAACAAATTGGAGCTCTTAAAACGCAATCCTATTTTCCACAACGTGACCTTATTTTCACAACGGAGTCTTGTGAAAGTAGACGGAGAGACTGAGAAATCCAAGAAAGTGGCCAATCTCAAATGGTACTGGTTCGGCAGGTACATAAATTACATCAAGAACTATGAGCATACGCTGGAGCGTAAGTTTCCGCGTACGATGCAGATGTACCGTGTGTTCAGCGTTGGTACCAGAGATGTATACACAGACTTAAAAAGTTTCGTTACTGCGATAAAGAAGCAGGGATCGAACGGCGTAAATAGCTTAACACGAGAGCAGCTGCAGCTGATGCACACGATGCCGAGAGATCTGCGAAAGCTCTTGCCGTTGTTTCTGCTGTCGGCTGCGCCATTTACGAATTATATTATTTTCCCTCTAGCCCTGTATTTTCCACGTTACTTATTAACGTCGCACTACTGGACGCTGCAACAGAAGCTAGAATTCATGTTATTCGATCACAAGGCGAGGTTGAAGCACAATAGACCACTGTTGAGGTGCATGCAGATGGAGCTCAAAAGCATCAAGGATGAAACACTCAAGATAAAATGGCGAGACGTTATAGCTTGCTTAGGAAGTGGTACACATCCAACCACCAACAATATCATAACTTGTTCCAAGCTCTTTTTAGGCTCACCATATTCCCTTAATAATCTCAAAAGGAAACACCTGGTAAGTCCACAAATTGCACTCGTTACTTCTGAATATGAATTCATCCTCCTTTGATTGAAAGTTTGTCATAATATAGATATATGTATACACCTTCCAGAAAGAATTGTTGGCAATACATGGTATGTCACTATGGAGACCTTTCAAGAGGAAAAGATTGACGGAGAGGGGTATGTTAATATTGCGAATGGATCGTGCTATCATACGAGAGGGAGGAATAAAAGAAATGTCCAACGAAGCAATGCGATGGGTAGATACTTTTGTTAGATTGACGCTTTTAGAATATAAAAAAATTATTTTTTAATATGAAAGAATTTATTTTCTTATTTATTCTTATTTATTTGTAACTTATACACAAAATATGATTCGTCTTCATTATTCTAACGTAATTTCCTTTCTTTTATTTTGAAAAAGTCATATGTAAATTATAATTGCAATTATTAAATTTTTACATACCTACGTGTATATATTTTATATACACTTAATATTAAATTTTGAATTACAATCTACAATTGACAATTTAATACATTTTGTTTAAATAGAATGTATACTGATACAAAAGATGTATTGGTGTTAGTTTATTATGAATTTACTTTTCAGGCATTATCCTTTAGAGGCGTAAATCCTGCAAATATGTCTATAGAAAGTATGAGAAGCTGGCTTGACCAATGGTTAATAGTATCAGCGTCTGTCGACCAAAATAATTTATCTTTATTATTACATAGCCCTATTTTATTAGCTTATAATCATTCAACAAATTGGACTCTTATATATAGTTGAAAAATCGACAAGTTTTAGAATTTTTTAGTTTTGATGCTAACTGTAATGTTTAATATGGTAAATGTTATTCTATTTATACCAAAGAAATATACGAATCATTTGTATCTATTTATATTTATTTATTTAAATATACATACCAACATACAAATTTTATAATTATATATACATGTCATGTGTGCATGCGTGTGTGCGTCATTATCGCATTTTATTTTGTATAAAACTATATAAAACCTAACTCTCTATTTTAAATACAATTTAACATACTGTTATACAATTAAGTATTATAACATAAGCTTCGTTATTATAAAGAAAAATAAATGCTATTCTAATTTAAAAATGATGAAACAATAAGAGAAAGAAAGAAATATTTCAATAAAAAAATTCGCAGGCAGATCAGTATTAACAAAAGATAAGCAAATTAATAATCAGTAAGCATTTTATTTGTTTGGCTCGTCAAATGATGAGTCCAAACAAATGATATCTCAATTCAAGTTTAAATCTAATAAATACTATAAAGTATTTAGAAGTAAAAAATATAGATCACCAAATAGTTTAAGATATTGAATAACTATCAGCAATGTGTATAACTCATAATTTTTCTTAAAATCCGAACCCAGAACATGTTTAAGTACACTAATTATTATATTTCACTATTCTTCTTTTCATTAAGTTCCTTAAATATTTTGTCATAAAATGTACAATTAAATTATTCTCACTTCTATCAGATGACAAAGTAAAAGTATTTCACATTTGTCAAGTACATAGAAAAATGGCTCGAAAATTTTATATAGGATAATAGATAAATACATGATAAGATCATACGAAGTTTTGCTTGCTATCATAAACAATTCATTAAAAGTGAAAAATTTTTTTAACTAATAAATTATTTTTTATTATAAATATATATATTTTTATAACATATATTTACAATGTAATTTGTACTATAAATTAATATTTGTAATGTATTTATACTATATCCGAGATAATCGACCGTTATAACAAATATTCTAAGGTTATCTTCGATACACAGATTAGTACCTGGTATATTGTGATATAGATTATATATATATATATATATCTCGCAATATATCAAATACTCATTTGTTTAGCATCAGATATGAAAATTACTTATAATAGAATATAATAACGTATTGTAAATATCATTATAAAATAAAAAACTGTAATAAATGTATATATGATTTACTATATGAAATATCATATGAAAAATTTTTTATGAAATTTTATAGTGAATACATCAAAAGTGAGATCTCCAAACACATATGTTTTGAATGAAATAATTGCCTTGATTTAATTTAAGATTCTTAAATTAAAAATTATGTACTAAAAAATAATATTATATACAAATGTTAATTAAAGATGATCAATAGGGATATAACCGCCAATAGAAACTTTCTTTTTTACATTATGATCATAAACCGTTATCCCTAATTCACGTTTATCTTCTTTGCATGAGGATTCATTTTCTTTAATTTTATTAATTTTAATTTGCTTTATAGAATCAATTTGAATTTCTTTCTTTTTCTTTGGTTCTTCAGATAAACCAGTTAATTCATAATATCTTAATCGGCCTTCTGAATTTGAATTCTCGGAATTACCATCTGTGGCATGATATTTTTGCGTATCATGTATTTTGTTCAAATACTTAGCGTTTTTTTCGGAATTAGAGGAATGCGATTTATGAGGATAAGGACAACACTCACCTTTGCTGCAATTTCCCGACTTGTTAAATTCAGGACAAAGATACTCGTGACGCCGTTGACACTATAGGAGAACAAATCAGTACTCTACGTTTTACAAACTATTATTACGAGTCGTTATGACATTTGCATAAGGCATCTGGTTGTTATAATTAAAAATCACCTTAAACCTAATTTTATTAAAGCATTTTTTCTTTTTTTTTATGTTAGTGATCTCAGACTCATATCCACACGGGAGCTACACAAGTCAATTATCATTAACTATAAGAAAATAAATTTCTATGTGTTAAACCGATGGCACACACAATGTATGTTTTTTTGCTTGTTTGCATTTTAGTAAATTACTAAACATTTTGTTCTGTGATGCAATTCTAATAATTTACTAAACACAAGCAATCCAACAAGAAAACATGTATCATGTCGCTAGCTTTAATATGATTATATACTTTTTTATAACTTGCTTTTCTGCATATCGATGATCGGATATTATCAGTCCTGTTAATTTAATTTTGCCAAAAAAATCTATCTATATCATATACGTTATATAATTGATCACTTGCGGCCCGCGAGCTACATATCTGAAATCTTTTATTTAAAAAAATTTGCATTGTGTAATGCAAATTAAATAAAAAATAAAAAAAAAATTTTTTATATAAATAATAAATTAATGTAAATAATGTACCATATGAGTAATCAGTTAAAATACAAAAGACTATGCAGTTACCTTATTTCCTTTAGCACAATATCCTTGTAGAAAATCTATGCAGATTGAAGTGTTAGAAGACACTTTAACATGAAGATAAGGACAGGCATCTCTTGTGCAGCAGCCATCGAGGAAGTACTTGCATGTAGGCATTTTTTCAGGTCCAACATCGTGAGATAAAGAGCATTTGTTTAAGAAACACTTCCCTTGCAGAAAACTGGATATATTTAAACAAAATTGCATGATTTAAAATTCATTTTCCTGAATCTTGCTTTATCATAGATAAAGAAATAAAGAATTTTGCAATTTCTTATATTACCGTACTACAGTAATAATACTCATAATATAACTAGAAGATTCATTTTAACTTAATCAGATGATTTTTGGAGAAATACTAAAGGAAACACTAAAAGAATTGTTTTCAAAAAAGAATCGACAAAGTTCGTTTATATCTTTCATGCAGTTGTTGGTATCAACTAATGATATACTTATTCCAGGAAAGAATGTAAGATTATTTAATGAAAAAGTTTAAACGTGAAAGATAAAGATTCTCTGGCAATGTTACTAGCAATGAATTTCATTACTAAACGAATTTGAAATTTTTTAATATAAAATATCTAAATTAAAAAATAGAATTTGTAGGGAGTTTGAAAATATCTTGTTGTCAGAGAACTATAAAATACATTTGATAAAATATCATTAATATTGTAATAAAAATTTGATTTCTATTAAAAAAAAACAAGTTTTTAATCTTGATTCGACAATTCTATGAGCAAATAAATATTACTACATTTCTCTAAATATTATATGGTTGAATTAAAATCAATCCTGCATTTAGCTTTGACATAATTCCAATAAATATCTGCTTGATATAGACAAATTAAGAACATTAATATAATGATATAATGTATAGAAGAAATATGAGAGATATATTTAATATTTCAAATATTAATTTACTTTTTGCAAAGCGACACCTGATTTTTATCATGTCGTTTAGGACATGTTCCATTTTCATAATTTGGACAAGATCCAAATCGTTGATAAATTAAGCAAGGCTGGTTATTTTTGTGCATTTTATTTCGTAGAATTCGTATACTTCGTTGTTTTGCTTTATTGCTAAAACAAAAAATTTGTGTCAAAAACCAATAATAATGAATTCACTTTAGTTTGTATATAGTTTTAAATGATATATATGTATATTACTTGTACCTGATACTATTTTTGTAAGTAACTTTCGGAGATACGTTGAAAGCAAATTTTGTTTTGCTACTAATGTCCGTTTCTGATGTGCGATTTAAATTTTCTTTGCTCATTCGTTGTTTTTTATTAAAACTAACAAATTTATCATTCTTTCCATTGATCGATCGTTTTCCTGATTTTCCAGAAAAATTAATAAAATATATATTTACAAATTATAAAACATTGTATACGTAATACTAATAAAATAAAACACGAAACAATACACATACGTTTTAATAAAGAGTTCCTTCGAATTAATTTGTTTTTGGAAGCTCTATAGACAATACCACCAATAGTAACAAGTTTCTTTGTGTCGTTTCTGTAATATAAACTTTCCCATTTCATAAATTATTTATTTTATAACTTATTACATATAAAAATAAGTGCGTTACTTACATAACTTTCGTCCTTTCTGACAGACCAATTTCTTTAGCTTTTGATACATGCAACGCAGTTCTGTCTATCTTATATTTGGTCACTTTAGATTTATCGATATTTGATTTTGATAAATTAAGTACCATGTTTGAAGATTGTAATGTGTTACTTATGAATGGTTTCATTTTTATAGATTTTTGCGTTGTCCCTAATTTTTTATCTTTTAACTCTGCATGTTTCAATAATTTACGTTGATGCAATGGAGAAATTTTTGATGTGTTTTTCGTAGTAGATACTCTCACGAGTTTTCTACGTGATAGAAGTATAATACTAGAATTACTAGTCTTCTTTGGAGAAATCTTTCGATTATCGATATTTTTTACAAACTTCAATCTTGAACAAACAGGTCGTTCAATTGCAACTGATTCTTTAGGATTCGTCAACTTTTCTTTGGAAGATAATTTTTTCAATAATGTTGGATTAACGTATATAGATCTTTTGATATTCGTTTGTCCAGTATTATTATTTGTATTTGTTTTTGTTGTACTTGTATTTGTTATACATATATTATTTTGTAGTTTTTGATTTGAATTAGAAATATCATGCATCACTTTTGGATTAATATGTATTAAAGGTTTAGCATGGATATTTGGATTGATATGTACTGTTGATTTTTGTGGTTTAAAATTAGGATTAACGTGAACATTTGTGGTGAGCAATGTAGAATTTACATGTACATTTTTAGTTGAGGTCTCAGGTAACATTTTAGAACTCAAAGAAGAATGGCAAACCAGATCTGATTGAACTTTTGGTTTTACGAATTTAAATTTTCTGTTGAAACAGTTAGTTTTCTCATTGGACTGCAAAATTATTTGTGTCTTTTGTTTATATTGCTCTATCTGACCTGTAATTATATATAAGATAATTAATCTCATATAATTCTACATTGTCGAGCAAGAAAAAAATTGTCTTATAACGATAGATTAAACCTTGTTAAGATAAGGTTAAGATATTTCGTGAGAATCTTAACAACATGTAGAAAAAAGCCTGTAATAAAGATCAAGGAATTTTGAAAAGCTTATTATTTTAATCCTAATAAACAACTTAAGCCCATATTCTGTAACTCTTTATGACAGTGTCGGTATCGTTATATTGTCATTGCACAATTTTTATGTATAAAACTTGCACAATAATAACGGCTACATTTATATGTCACCATTAATTGGATTTAATAACATCTGTAAGTTGTTACTGATTTAAAATGCCATATAAACGCTAGTTAAATTCAGTTTTTTTTTCTGACAATTGGTGTAATAAAACCGAATTTAATTAGCGTTTATATATTTTACATCAGTAGATAACAACTACTAATGTTACTAAACCTACTTAATGATGACATATAAACATAGTTAATGTAAGGATACTATGAAGAGTTATAGAATAGATTCTATCAATATATAATCAACTTTAATCTTGGTTATTACTTAACTTACTGTTTATCTTTTTCTAATTCTAAAAATTAGAAAAAAATAAAGAATAAATTAAACCGAGATTAAAATTAATCTTACATTGATGAAATCAGGCCATAAAGGCTCATTTAGAACAAATACATTTCTGTTGATATTTGAAGTATAAGAAATATCTTTAACCAATTTAAACCAATGCTTATATAAGATCACATTATCATCACTGTTAATATAATTCAAACTATTTGCCAGCAACTTTCACTGTTAACTGATTTACTCTCGTCATTATCTTTTGTTGTTATTCTCTTTAGTACAGTTTGTTTCCGAGAGCGGATCAAAATTAAATTTTGTTTTTGACATTGAAACGTATTGTGTAAATTTTGTATAAACAATAAGAATTTTATTTTAGACTGTACATGTGAGAACACAACCAATACGAACTAGAAATTAAATGCCTCTACCGGTCAAAGCTGAATTTTTAATGCTTTTAAATATTTCAATGTGAACTCTATATAGGGGAGAATGGTATAAACCGGACCGTGTTCCAAATAGGACCTTTTTAATTTAAATGAATACGATTAAGCAGATTTGCGTACTATTTATAATGTAAAGTCCTTATAAGACACCGAACATGTGAAAGCAGTTTGACAGTTCTCTATCATAACATTCATAAAACAGATGCAAATATGTATTTTCAGCCATTGTGCGAAAATTTTTTTAAAAAAGAAAATCCTTGTAAATCATTATTTAAAAAGTGTTAAAAATTTGAAAAATAATTGATTTAAGATAATTAAAGAGTGTAGAATTCAAAAATATCAAACATTTCATGATCACTTTTGCGGTTTATTATAAAATGTGTTCCAAAGTTCGAAAGGACTCGTGTCCAAATTGGACAGTACAGTGAATAACTTATAGGCCTGGTTGTAGTACTGGTGATCGGCTGATCAGATCTGGTCCAAGCAATTAAATCAGTAAAATATCATGAGTCATCAGACTCAGATGAGTTTTATTGGTTTCAATTCTAATAATATAAACAGTCAGTAATTTCTTTTTCCGAAAAAATGTTTATCTTTGATTGTTAAATTGCTCGTTTTTACTCAATACTAAGAAAAACATTGAAATATTTTAAAATTCTATTTAAAAATCCATAAAAATAGGAGTTTTCGAACTGAACCAGGGGTTTGATGGTCCGATTTGGAACCGATGGTTCCGGAAAAACCGGAAAAAGCGTTTTTACATTTTCCATTATAGTTTAACACAGGTGAGAGATACGTCAAAATAATCTAAAGTAAAAATGAAGAGAATTAAATGATCTTTCCAACGGCACCTTCGATTTTACAATCGGACTTTATTTACATCTTATAGAGAGCAAAAACTGCAAATAGGTTCGATTTAGATCACTCTCCTCTGTTGTGTGTGTGTGTGTGTGTAGGTGGGTTGTATGTGGGTGTGTACTATATATGTACATGCATAAATACTATATTTGTAGTCATTCGAACTGTGCACTGAATTGGTTTTCCAGACCTATAAATGCAATTAAACTATTGTAATAATATCACAAATTAAATTGACAAGCAATTTTTAATAATTTGATGCTCAATCAGGCATCATATTAGAAAGACGTTAATGTACTGAAAAACTGTAAACGGGAAACCAATTCAGCGCACAGTTCAAATGACTATAAATATGGTTTATATGCATGTACATATATAGTACACACATATATATATATAATTCATATTGAATTATTTATAAGCATTAAAGATCCAGTTTCGACCGGTATAGGTATTTAATTTCTATTAAATCTTATATTTTGTTGTTACAAAATTCTCTATATTTCAGTTCTCTCTATATTTGAATGAAAATCAAACAGAAATATAACAAAATTTGTTAACAATATGATTACAGAAATCGAGTAAAATTTTTTAACCATTTAAATAATATATTCCACTTAAATATTTATGAAAGGACAAATTACTAGTGATTTCTGTTATTAGTGGCAATCTGCTGTCAGATTATCAATAGATTCTGCTGGCAGAATGTAAATACATTTAATGCCGTAACATTCTAATAAAATCTATTAATAAACTACCAGCGTACTGTTAAAAATGCAAAATATAAATGGATTAAACTACATATGTACATATTCTTGGGCTTTATTTTGCATAACGAAAGATCAAGTTACTCTTTTATTCCCGAAAAGTTGCAAACTTACTTTTTAAATAATGAATCTCGTTCAGTATATTGACTTCCGTGCTTGCAGATGATGGAACTCCCATTTTTAGAATTTCGGTGAAAGGGTCACATAAGAGATTTCGCGACGCCTGTTTTTTTGAAATGAGATCCGTGTCCTTCAATTCCTTTTTCTTCTTCTTTACTGAATCTCTCAGATGTCTACACTTTCGGATTAAAAAAGGCTTTTATCCTGGCTTTTTAAATCCTTTGAGAATATTTAAGTTATTCAAGACTGTTAACAACGGACGTAAAGCAGCTGTTCTCGTGTCAAACTTGGGATTACACGTTGAAGGTTAGATCATGATGGAAGAAGCCAAGTATGACCCTGCGCATAATAGAAGGAATAAGGAATTAGGAACAAAGAATAAACGATTTTAACCAATCAGAAATCAGATACATCAGAATACACGGTTTCTGATAGGTTGAAATCGTTTATTCTTTATTCCTAATTTCTTATTCCTTCTATTGTGCGCAGGGCTTAATAATTTCAAGGATGCGCTAAAGTCATTAGATCTATAAGGGTGAAATCACACGGTGCGGAAAAAGACTGCAGAATAGAGAATGCGTCATTGAAACAACCAATCAACGCTATTCAGAACTATTCGGAATAGCGCTGATTGGTTGCTTCAATGACGCATTCTCTATTCCACAGTCTTTTTCTGCACCGTGTGATTTCATCCTAAAGGCTGCGTTCCACTTATTGTTAAAGGTGCCTTTTCATGCTGACGCTCGACGCTCATTTTCAGCGTCAAAATAGATCATGTGATCAAAATTGGCGCTTGATATTTGTCAATTTCTATCATGTGACTAAAGAGACTATCTATCGCGTTTAATGCGGGGTCTACAATAGAAGTCGTAGCATTCGTAGGGTCTTAAGCCCAGTGTCCACGATGCTAGAAATCCGTCCGAGA